GAGGAGAGGTGAGGTGAGGTGGATCAGGTGACACTCAAGTGGAACCAAGCTCAGAGACACACAGAGATACACACACAGAGACACACAAACACAGACAGACACATAGATACACATACAGAGAGACACACAAACACAGGGACATAAATAGATACACAGACACATAGATACACAAATGCAGAGACATACACACACAAGCACAGAAACGCACAGAGATACACATACAGAGACACACAGAGATACACACACAGACGCACAAAGATACACAAGCACAGAGACACAAAAACACAGAGAGACAGAAACACAGAGACACACATAGATACACTAACACAGAGACACAAAAACTCAGACACACACACACACACACACAAAGACACACAGAGATACACAGAATGAGAGACACACAGAGATACACAAACACAGTGACACAGAGATACACAGAATGAGACACACAAACACAGAGACACACAGAGATACACAGAATGAGACACACAAACACAGAGATACACAAACACAGAGACACACAGAGATACACAAACACAAAGACACAGAAACACAGATACACAGTGAAACACAGACACACAGAGAGATACAGAGAGACAGAGATACAGACAGACACAGAAACACAGATACACAGTGAAACACAGACACACAGAGAGATACAGAGATACAGACAGACACAGAAACACACATACAGATACACACAGACACATAGACATACACATCTAAGAGCAAAACATGCAAGCACACAGAATACATGACACAGAGATCAAACAACATTTACATAACATGCAAAAAGTGGAGGTCATGCATCAACACATATGCATAATATGCAGTAGCACACAGCAGCACGTGCCTCACACGCAGACCTGAGATCACATCTCACACTGAACGCCGCGCATGCAGTCATACAGGCAGCAAACACACGTGTGCCAACACCTGATATGGCACACACACACACACCTGCGATCAGATTGCAGCACGCTGAGTGTGTCACGTGTCCTCGAAAGCACAGCATTTGTGGGGCTGTCAGACGCGACTGCCTGTGTCAGACGCAGCTGTGAGGAGGCTGCCTGCAGGTGACAGGGAGCGACAGTGAAGCAAGCCTGCAATATAACCAGCACGGGGACAGTGGCCAAGACACAGGGCACAGGACAGAGGGCGCAGGACACAGGGAGGCCATGAGGCTCACGCCGGCACGCGGCCGATCGGTAGCTGGCTAGTACCAGCCGCTGGAGGAAGTGTGGATCCACACAACTCGCTGAGACGCTACTGAGACTTGTGGCTGCACCCCCGCCCCCCAACTGCACCAAGATGATGCAGCAGATCCTACAGGACATGTATATTGAGCCTGACCTCCTGGCTGAGCTCAACGAGGAGCAGAAGCAAATCCTCTTCTACAAGATCCGCGAGGAGCAGGTGCGACGCTGGAACGAGCGGGAGAACCAGAGCCGCAGCCTGGGGGCCCAGCCCGGACGGGCCGGTGAGTGGTGGGGGGGGGGGGGGGGCACTGAACACAGATCAATGCCACATCACTATCGCTGCATCTGAAACTCTTAATTAGGCTCTTGATCAGCCGAATACTTTCATATTCATACCTATTCATTCAGCAAGGCCGCATGACTTGCTGGAGAACTGTAGCTTGATGACTTAAAACATTAAATATCTGTTAGCAGGAAAACCTTGTGCATTAATTTTACTACCACTGTACAACACACAACATTAACTGCTGCACCATACACAACATCTACCACTGTACAACACACAACATTAACTGCTGCACCATACACAACATCTACCACTGTACAACAAGGATGGCACTTCATCTGATCCTGAGGCGATCTTGGATTTCTTTCAGCTGTTGAGGCTTATGGGGCATTGCTAAGAGGCCGGTGTTTTTTGTCTTTTTCTATGCTGTCCCTAAACCTGAGGTACTGTTACTAGTAATTTGCTGTTGGCTTGTCTTACTCTCACGTCCTGCTCCAATGGTCCCAAAGACGTTTGTCCTCATGCAGCCAGCAGGAGGAGCATCCAGTGGTTGAAGGGAGCAGACGGTGAGGTTTGGGTGTGGGTGATGGGTGAAGCTCCCGGCGACAAGCCTTTTGAGGAAATTGTGGAGGAGTTGATGGCTGAGAGAGCCCGACGACAGGCCCAGCAGGAAGCCCAGGAGCTGTGGTGAGATCATCGACCGTGACAGTGGGTGGGGCACGTGTCACTATAAGTGTGCACAGATATGAAAAGCAATCCCTGGTGAAACTTGAGCTTTAATGATTCTGTTCCTTATTTCCTGCCTAACCCCACATTTCTTTCACACCACCCATTTTGCCGGAATACACCCAAACCCACTACTCAAACCTCATGACCTACACCGACTCGAGGCGCGTGAAGGAGGCGGAGATCGAGCAGAAATTTCGAGAGGCCATGGCCAAGGAGAAGGCACGCTTTGCAGCGGGGAAGTGGAAGGAGGAGACAGAGGACAGGAGAGCAGCCAAGCTCAAGGTGGGTGTCATGTGACCGCATGTGGGTGGGGCTCCATGTGTCCTGATATCATATGACTTAATTCAGATGGAACTCAAGGTGTGTGAGTGTAGTGTCATTACATCTAGGCAGTCACAATTGATAGGTGACATTTGTCTACATCTAGCCAAAACACAGATGAGTGGATGTCATGTGACCTCATGTGGGTGTGGCCTGATAGGGGTAGGTGTGATGTTTATGCATTCAGGAAAGTGCTTCTCATCGTCGTTTCATTATCGTCAAGATTGACCATCAGGCACTGGATTTAGCCAGCAGCTCCTAGCAGGGCTGGTACAGCTCAGTGCTTCCATCCATGTCGATGCTTTATCCTGCTCTTCATCGTGATACTTCATATCTGACATTTTGCTCCCATAATTCATCACTTTCTCAGGGGTGGAGCAGGAGAGCCTGGCCACCTTCCCCTCTCTAAGCAACATACTCCCCTCCTCTCCTCTCGTCTGGGCCTTGGGTCCAGCTGAACATGAGCTGCCCAGGGCCTCGGGACCCTTCCCTAATTACACTCGGGAGCAGCCTACTGGCTAACAGGAGTGGGGTGCTGATGGATGGCACATCGTGTCATTGTGACTGGGGTAACTGCTGGGGCACATGTCACATGACTTCAGGTCGATTGGCTCGTGCTAACAGTTTGGTTTCAGCACACCTTAAATGTGTATGGGGTAGAGTGCATATAATCCTGATACACATAGCTCTACAGTACAGTCCTAGTGCTAAAATGGCAACTATATTTGACACACAGTGCTACAATGCCGCAGTGCTAACACTGTAACTGCAATTACAATGCTGCAATTCTATAATGGAAATGGAATTTGTAATGTGCCAGGGCTAACATGATAACTGCATTTATGATGCCCTAAAGCTAACATGGATCTAGCTACATCTACAATGTCCCAATGCTTACACTATAAAGACATTTACAAC